CATCATTCTTTGCACAATTTGCACACTGCCCTGATTGCACTCATTGCACACAGCAGTTTCTAATTACCTCATTCACTATATAACACCCACTCTAACCACCTTTCTCTGCTGAGTATTGTTTAGCGCTTATCCTTAGATAGCTACACTACAGAGCCCTCATTAGTTTCCCTGCCTTAGCCTTAGCCTTAGCCGTTTTCTCCGGTTTTGATCTTCGCCTGTTTTCCTGGATTTCTCCCTTTAGTCTTGCCCCTGTGACTCTGTCTGCCAATCGTCGACCCATGCTAGCCCTAGGATTATTCTTGTGTTTTGCCCGCCATATACCTGTCTGCCTTTATCTGACCCATGCCTGTTTCATGACCACGTCTCTGTCTTTTCCAAAATAAAGCTTGCATATGGATCCGCACGTCTCACGCCTCGTCAGCCCCGTTACACTCAGAATTCTGAGGGTAAAAAATGTAATTGAAAGAGAAAAAATAAATAAATTACTAAAAACAACAGTTATTGTTTTTCTTTTAAAGGGGTCATATGATGTTGCTAAAAATAACATTATTTTGTGTATTTGGTGTAATGAAATGTTTATGTGGTTTAAAGTAAAAAAACACACGTTATTTTCCTCATACTGTACATTATCGTTTCTCCTCTATGCCCCGCGTCGATTTTTACAAAGCTCATCGGTCTGAAAAAGCGAGGTGTGCTCTGATTGGCCAGCTATCTAATGCGTTGTGATTGGCCGAATACCTCAAGCGTGAGATGGAAATGTTACGCCCCTCACCATACTGTTGATGCCGTGTCCCGTCCGGAGCGACAAGACATAAATATTAAAACCCATTACAAACGAGGCATTTGTTGCATCCAGTGGGGACATAATTACTGATTATAATGATTTATACTGTCTTTTTACGCGTTGCATTGCATTGCGTCACTCCGCGTAAACATAAAACCCTGTCTGCATTTGTGATCGGAGAAATGACAAACAACAAGTGCTACTCTACACTGCTCAAAACTTGCGTTTGAATCATCAGTGGCAAATCCTTTAAATGAAAACGTACTTACGTGAGTCAGAACTGCCGGCATTTTAGTCTAACGTTACTCTCCCAGGATCAGTAAACAGTCCTCCATAAAATGTGCTGCACACATCTGGATACTTGGGTTAAACTGTTCTGGAACAGTGTTGTAAATACAACTTAACCACTGATTTGTAGTCGTGTCCTCTTTTGGAAGACCAAACAAAGTAGTTTCGCTTTCACAACGAAAAACACAGTGGCCTACCGTGAGGGGAAGCCCCGGCTTAGCGTGCGCTGAGGCCAGGCTAGCGTGAGCTGAGGCGGCGCGGTCAAGATCCGACGAATGAGCGGCAACCACATGTGACAGACCCGGGCTGGATTCCGCTTCGTCCACGGTGAAAGTTGATGTATTTCCTCAGCGACCAGCACGGATCAGCTCTAGGCATGACGAAGCAGATATCGTCCTCTTTTGGAAGACCAAACAAAGTAGTTTCGCTTTCACAACGAATCACACAGCGTCTTCAGGACATGGCTGCAGCGTCAACAATACTACAGCGAGAATAAAAGTTACGCCTTCTTTCTTTGCGTGAACATTTGGGCGCGTTATGCAAATCTTCCCACATAGTGATGTAGACATGTGGGGGCGTGTTAGAACGAGCCGTTTTAGGTAGGCGTGGTTAACTCTGAAATTTTATAAAGAATATCTCTTTGGATTTGAGACTTTAGTCTTTGCAACTTTACAGATCTTCTTTATGCACCAAGAGCTTGTAACACTCCAAAGAGAAAGGAAAAATTTAAATTGCATCATATGACCCCTTTAAACTATGATTTCAGAGGGCTCAGAATGTAGGGCACGAGTTGTATGGACCACTTGTATTGTACTTTAATGGTGTTTTGTTGTTCTTTTGGCACTATAAATCAATGTACACACTTTTCTTGTGTGGTGAAAAGAAGCTTTGACATTTCAAAAAGAAATAAAACATTTTATTCACAGACATTTTTAGGGCTGGAAAAATTAATACAAAAAAACAATCTATTTTATATTTAAAAGCCAAGCAGCACCGCTTCTCAGAGCTTTCTGATGGTGAACATTGGTTTGAATCTCCTCACATTCATTAGACACAACCAAAGTTCAAGGAAATAAAGCAGTGCTTATAATCCTAATCAGGATTTTTTATCAGTCACATGGCGAGTGTAAAAGGTGCTGTAATCTCATTAACCTTCATAAGGATGTTTCATAAGTAAATTGTTCCTTAAAGTCTTATTATCTAACACGCATGTGTAATTAACCTTGGGATTCAGTTTACTCTCTGTTTCATTTTTATGCTGTTGTAAAACAATGTATGGATCAGTAGTTTGGTATTCAATGCAGAAAATGCAGACAAATCATGGTCCTGTTTTTATAAATTTCATTCTTCTTATGTATATGTCTACATATTGACGTATTGTATAATATATTTAATGGGCTGTTCAAGTCCAAGATCAGTATAACTGATGTATAAATAGGCACAATAATGAGACATAATGATTTAAAGACTTTTTTTTCTTTGTTAAATGATTGAAATATGGCCTATTGTTAACACAAGCTCAATGAATTGTTATGTTTTATTCTACAACACATGCTCATTAATTTATAAAAAAAAAAAATTACATCAGAATTTTTTTTCCCCTCACACAAATGTATCAAATGGCTTCGGAAGAGCTCAAATACAGAGTATGAGTCAGTATGACTTTTTGGTGCTTTTTGTCCTTTTTGGAGCTTGGAAGCATAAATAATCATCCACTATTATTATATGGAGAAGTGAAGCTAGTTTTCATAGAATAAAGAAAACAGCACAAGGTCAGAATGACATGAGGGTGTGTAAATGACGGTAATTCTTCACAGATCTTTGAGGAAAAAAAATATGGTGATGATTTTTATACAGTTTCCGTGTATTTTTCATCTCGATGTCTGAAGTGAAAGTGACATCATACCCTAGTTTTTCCTTTTTTTTCTTCTTCTTTTTTTTTTTAAATACATCTGAGTTGTTTCATTAAAGATTTTTATGGAATATGTGATAGTAGGCATCGTCTTTATTGCTTTACAGCATCTCGACTTGTCGTGTCATTTGCATTTGCTTTGTTCCACAGTGAGTGCACATGTATAATTTATTATTACTTTTATAAATGTACCAACATTTTGGAAATAAAGTCAGTGCGTGCGACTGACAAAAACAGCACACTCGCCAAACAGAAATCCATTTTTGCTTTAATAAAAAACAATATCATTTGAAAATAAATATGTTTACTAGTTATACTAAAAACACAAAAGGATGTTAATATTTAACAGCACCAATAAATATATTACTGTGAAAATATACTGAAAATGTGGCTGTACATGGCAAACAAACAAAAACTAATTTCTGGCACTTTCACGCAAAGAGAATGTTTGTTTTTCGATCCTAAAACCTCGTCCGAAGGCCTCGTATCTCCACCAAACTGATCGCTCATACAAAAACATTACAATAAACGGGGAAAAAAGGCGTTTTCAGGAATGTTGAAGTGTTTGTTTCTCTTTTGGCTGTCGTTCTATAAAGCCATCCACAGTTTTTCAGATTGGTGACGATGTCGATAGGAAACAAATCAAAACAATATCAACAATAACACTGTATATAAATAGATCAAATTAAATACACAGAATACTGAACATATTCTAACATTATAAATTAGATGTAGTGAACTACACAAAGGGATATTAGATATGTATACACAGATATTGTGTGGTAATGAACAGTTCCTAAAGTCCTGTGCAATATTCTCTTTGGAAAACGTTACAAACTTAAATATTTGAGTTATCTTTTACTACTGCGGTGAATGGAACGAGTCTGTTCCTTTAGCAAAAGTCAGAATCGATTTGCATTTTGTCACATTTATGTATTTTTTTTTTTAAATCTCCATATGTACATATATGTAATATCCCTTTAGTATTATCACACCAAGTCCTATTGGATGTTAGTCAGTACAGAGTGACTAAGATTTCACCCTAGTGAGAGTGACATCACAGAAAGAGATAGTTCCGCATTCGTATCCCATGCCTGGACCCACTGTTCCGAACATTCCGGAAAGAATCATTATTATGTCACTTCCTCTCCTTTGATTGACAGTCTGTAACTGTTCACGTAAAGGCTTGGAGGCTGTCGTTTGCACCTTTCAGTGAAGTCTTGGACATTCGATCCGAGTTTTTAAATATGAATCCACAGCGGGCCGATCCAGTGAAGCTTTACCTCACTGCGTTCTGTCCAATCACAGGCCCAGGTGCAGTGACACTGAAATATATCCCACTCACACGCCAAGCAGCGTCTTCGTTTACGTGTAGGTGATAGCAGCGACACACATTGTCATTGTCATTTAATATATATAATATATATTCTATATATTCATATATTAATATCTTAAAAATTTACATCGGGATGGTATCTCCTGCCCTCGTTTCATTCTCTGTCTTTCGTTCAGGCTAGTGTTTGCAGTTCGTCCAAGGAATGCATCCTCAGGTTTAAAAAGTGCTGTGCCGTTAAAAAAAAAAATTCCTTCATTCATTGTTCTGCTCAACGCGCCGCTCATCATCTTGGCTTTTCACATCTGAAAGAGAACAATGGACTGGTTAGAGATCTGCATGAAATTTGTGTCAATATATGTCAGGAAAAACCTATGCGCTTATTGATCTGTGCTTTTTAGCCACCCAACCAATCAGAGTTAACCAGAGTCTTTTTCCACACTAATGTGTTTACAATAGAAAAGTAGTGCTTGCAATTTTTTTTTTCAAAGAATATGCTATAAGTGTGAAATGTAATGTTTTCTGACATTTAATTGCATGTTAAGTTTAAGTTTAAATTGCAGTTAGCTGAACTTTACAGGGATTTTTTTGATCCACTTACGTAGGACTTAAGTACATCTTTATATGTAGTTCTATAATTAAAGTGCACTGCTTTTACTGGCATTACACACGCCAAGCAGCGTCTTCGTTTACGTGTAGGTGATAGCAGCGACACACATTGTCATTGTCATTTAATATATATAATATATATTCTATATATTCATATATTAATATCTTAAAAATTTACATCGGGATGGTATCTCCTGCCCTCGTTTCATTCTCTGTCTTTCGTTCAGGCTAGTGTTTGCAGTTCGTCCAAGGAATGCATCCTCAGGTTTAAAAAGTGCTGTGCCGTTAAAAAAAAAAATTCCTTCATTCATTGTTCTGCTCAACGCGCCGCTCATCATCTTGGCTTTTCACATCTGAAAGAGAACAATGGACTGGTTAGAGATCTGCATGAAATTTGTGTCAATATATGTCAGGAAAAGCCTATGCGCTTATTGATCTGTGCTTTTTAGCCACCCAACCAATCAGAGTTAACCAGAGTCTTTTTCCACACTAATGTGTTTACAATAGAAAAGTAGTGCTTGCAATTTTTTTTTTCAAAGAATATACTATAAGTGTGAAATGTAATGTTTTCTGACATTTAATTGCATGTTAAGTTTAAGTTTAAATTGCAGTTAGCTGAACTTTACAGGGATTTTTTTGATCCACTTACGTAGGACTTAAGTACATCTTTATATGTAGTTCTATAATTAAAGTGCACTGCTTTTACTGGCATTTATGTTGAATCTTGTATTTCATGTATTTAAATAAATTGGTAATTACACATTTATACATTTAAAATATATTAACTTTAAGTAATAGCTACTAAATAAGACACTGTAGTTAAAATTATAATCAAGTATTTTTCATGTGCAGTGTGTTAGTCAACACATAAAAACAATTGTACTTATTACATAAAGTAAAACATAATTATATTGAAAACTTTAATTTGTCATTACTTTTTAAAAGTGTGCTTAAGTATGTTTTGAAGCAGTCATGAAAGTCCCTCTCTTTAATTCACTTAAGCTGCCTTTTATTTCATTAATTTTAGATTATCAGCAACTACAGTATTTTATATGCTTTTAAGATTTATAAGCCAAAATGTTATTTAATGTAGGTCAATATAATACAAAAAAATGTATAATAAACAAAATCAAAACTGCTGTAAAATGAAAGTAACATTTTCACTTACAGTCAAACTAAAAACATTTTATTAGTCAATATTTGATTTAGTTGACTTAATATAAAGGCAACTTTGAAATACCTTAATTTTTATAACGATGTTGTTTTAAAATATGCATCATGTTTTTCTTTTATGCACAAAAATAATAAAATAAATTTAAAAATAAAAATAGTATGTGTTCTGCACATCAACACACACAAAATACAATTTTTATTGTTTATTTTGTTTATTTTGTTTTTCTATGAGGAGTGTTATTTGCCTTGAACTGAACAAAAGAGGTTTAAACCGAATTTTCAATTAGACCAATAATGAAAATGCACATTAAATAAATGACAAAGTAATTTCACTGTTTTCAGTGCAGGAAAGACAAGCCCATCGACATGAGAGAAATTCAACTGCTGTTCTCAGAAACATCAAAGAGCCGAAATACAGGTGAGGTATCACATGAGCATGGCGTCATCCCAGCACATTAGTACGATAATGACAGAGAGAGACAGCCATGCAACCTCTGTTTATTTACCTTTGGTTGCTTTCCTCTTTGTGGGCCGTGGGCCAATTAGAGTACAAATAAATGCAGACTGGGGCTTTAAGCCGACAAGACAAGTGAGATTACAAAGAGCAAACAAGCTGCCCTGAAATAAAGCCAATGACTGAGAGCAAAATACTGCTTGAGCGCAGGTGAGCCGAGGCGCTGAGATCGCCCGAATCTCCCTCTCTCGCTCTCTTTCGGCTTTTAACCCTCCCCACTCTGGGTTTTCTGCAAAACAGGAAAATAACGCAAGAAAAGGACATCTAAATGAAGCTGTGGACAGTCATGCTGAGAATGATCAATCAGCACAAGGGATGTCAAAAGTGCTTTGGTACCAATTTGATACTTTTAAAAAAACATACTTTTTTAGTAAACACTACATTTATACGTTTTTTTTTTTTTACATTTTTTTATCAATAATTTAAATAATAATTAATTTACATTTTGTTTAATAAAAATGCTACTTCACAACTACAATTCAATTTTTTTTAAGACATGTAATGTAAGAAAAAAATTATATTTCAAATAAATGCTGTTCATTTGAACTTTGTATAATGGTTTCCACAAAAATATGAAGCAGCACACCAGAAGCTTTCAACATTGATAATAATGAATGTTTCTTGAGCAGCAAATCAGCGTATTAGAATGATTTCTGAAGCATCATGTGACACTGAAGACTGGAGTAATGATGCTGAAAATTCGGGATATAATCACAGAAATAAATTACATTTTAAAATATATTACAATAGAAAACAGTTATTTTAAATTGTAATACAGTTTCACAATATTACTGTATTTTTGATCAAATAAATGCAGCCTTATTGAGCATAAACATTAAAAAGAATTAATAAATCTTAACAACATTTAGAAAACATTAAGAAACCTTAAGGTGGGTAGTGCAAATGCGATATGCTACAGTGTTTAACCTATTTTTTTTTTCATATTTAGTATTTTAAATAAGTAAAATTCATATGCATTGTTCATATTTGCTGTTATATAAATATTTGTACTGAGAATTGTGAAATTCCACTGGCATTAGTACAGACCACTAAAATTATCCTATTGTGACAACCCTACTTGCCAGCAATTAAAGCGAGGAGAAGCACGTCACGGATAGTCCTCATGAGGAATCAACAGCAGACTCTACAAATAAGCAGCTGCAGGAACTGAGCCATAGTGTGTGTGTGTGTGTGTGTGTGTGTGTGTTTGAGGAGCTTAGAGGTAAGGATCGAAGTACAAGGAGCTGAACTTGAGCTTGTGAATCAGAAGCGAGAGTCGCTGGGCTCCCCGCCCCCCGCGTGAGCACCTGCCTACGTGCTGAGAGAGATGACACGCAGAGAGCCGGCACTTAGCCCCATGACCAATGGATTTCATTTAGCCCTCTCAGCTAACCCCATCCATCTCTGTACGCTCGCATTAACCTATAGGTGCAGAAACGCACACGGCCGCCGCTCATCCAATTAAACTGGGAACATTCCCTGACCTGAACCTACCGTCCTTCCATTAGATCAAATATATGAGCAAAAAGAGCTTTTTCAGCACTAAAATCACTTTTCGGAGCCATTTTTGAAATGACATTTGACCAACTGGTGTCAAGGCGGTTTTTAGTGGATGCACAAAACTTTTTGTGAGATTATTTTTTTTTTCCCCCAGAATATTTGATTTGATATTTCTGTTATATACACTGCAATTGTTACCTTCAAGAGATAGGTAATCATAAAATGAGGATTTCTTGGTATAAATGAATCTATTTGGATTGATTCATCAATATTAAATCATATTTTTTTACTTGAATAAAACAAGTTAATCAAACAGTTGCTGCTCCCCTTTGACTTTGACTACGGAAGTCAATAGGGACCAGAAACTATCTGGTAGCAAAATATCTTCTTTTTTGTTCAAGAAAGAAATTCATACAGTTTGAGGGTGAGCCTCATTTTAGGTGAACTATCCCTTTAAGACACAACAGCACTAAATGAGGTTTGTGAAACATCTCAAGGTAACCAACAATGACCTCCGTCTCAGGATCACCTACTATTTAAAAGGCTAAAAATAAAAGTGGGTTAACGACAGACACTTGTTACTATGATTAGTGTGGGGAAGCAGGCAAGGGTCAGACTTGAGCAACTGCGGTGTGAGGAGAGCGGCGGGTGGTCTTCACAGACTCCATCTTACAACTGCCATAAAGCGCCAGAGCCTCGCCCCAAAAGAAAAACTGCAACCGTCCTATAAAAGACTCCGTTATCGGCAGGTCAGAGCTCGTAAGAGATATATACGGAGCAATCCAGGCTTTAACACAAGCACCATGAGCTGTAAAACCTCAGAGAGGACTGGCAGACACCTGGCCAGCTCAACACTCGACTTGTTGATCTAAAATTAGATTTACCATATTTGAAGGCATATTATTTGAACATTTTTTTCACATTGCTGTTTCAGAACAAACATTCAAGTGTCACAAGAATTATTATTTTTTTTAATTTGTGACTGGAAACATATTCAGAATTTAGCACGTGCTCTTATCCAAAATGACTTGCATAATTACTATTTCTTTATGATACTGCCATGTTCAGCAGATGGGAAGCATTAAATTATGAATGGTTATCTGCCAGAAATAGAGACGCACTAGCTATAAAAAGACGTCCAACACAAATAAAAGGAAAAGCAGGTTTTGTTTTGGGTGTTGAGTCATTATTAAGTCCTGTTGAAAGCAGTGAGTCTTGAGTTTGCGCCTGAGGATTAGGAGGGATTCGGCTGTTGTATCATTTAGTGGAAACTGATTTGACTGTATGGGTGTGAGAACAGTCGAGTGTTTCACTTTATTAGCTTTGTTGTGGGCAAACGGGGTTGAGGGTGTGTCGAGGCGGTTGCGGTAGTAAACCGGGAGATGTACAGTAATGAATTCTCACAATATATTTGCGACAAAATTAGCAAACAATTGAGCATCATAATGAATAATACCACGGTTTTGTTATATTTAATATGTACTCATTTATTTCTTTATAATGCTAGGACAATGCTTGTGAACTTTTAGTACTCAGTGGCGATACTGATCCAGTAGAGGGAGCGCTGAAGGTCTAGACAGGGTTTTACCATTTTTGATAATATTTTGATCTAGATTTAATTTTCATTTCAATTTTAGTTAAAGGTGACATATCATGAAATTGGACTTTTCCAGGTTTTAAGTGCTATAATCAGGTCCCCGGTGCATCTACCAACCAAGGAAACGTGAAAAAGATGAACCCAGTAACTTTGTTTTGGTACGCCTTTTTCTGCAAGCGTCTGAAAAAAACCAGCGCATCTGATTTCGCTCCCTTGGTGACGTGGCAAAGGGATCTCATTATAATATCACCGCCCCTTAATCTGTAAGTTTACACCCACGGCGCCATCATTTGATTTCGCAAGCGACAACGGTGTACCAGTTCTAATGCCACGGCGAAAGTTTGAGCAAAGCATGCTAACTGTTCAGCACTGAACACTGTTTACAGTCCCAGCCTCAGAGACAACAGAGCAGTGGATTTATTGATTTATTTACTGTATATTGCTGCTGCCACACAGATCTAAAATAAACATGCGATTTATTTCCCAGCTGTTTACCTTCACAGACATAACCCACTGTTTTTGTAACTCGTGTGTGTTTTTAACGTAAACTTGTGTGTGAATGAGAGCTTAGTTTAGTACTCGCATGCTGTGACAGCCGCTTTCTGTGCGTGTGCTTCGGATGTGTGCGCTCAGAAAACCGTATATCAGAAGTTTAAACTAATATGGTTTAAAACGCATGATTTCAGTGTGATAAACATGATAATCATAACCAAAACAGCTGTTTTTAGCAGGTATGAGCTGTAATGGCGCAGCTCAAAAGCTGGAAAAGGGGCGGGGAGCAGCTGCTCATTTGCATTTAAAGAGACAGGCACGAAAAACAGCGTGTTTCTGCTTCCACTTAAAATGGGCATTTTCAAAATGATATAATAAATGATCTGTGGGGTATTTTGAGCTGAAACTTCACAGACACATTCTGGGGACACCAGAGACTTATATTACATATTGTAAAAAGGGGCATAATATGTCTCCTTTAAAGTAGTACATTTGTTGTGTTTTTGTCTTTTTTTTGTATATTTCTATTATACAAGTTCTATTTTATCATTTATATTATGTCTTATTAAGCTGAAATAAAAAAAGTTTAAAAAATTTTTTAGGGCTGAAGATTGACAAATATATACAGTATATAGTGTCCAGATGACTTTGAGATGCTGTGAGCTGGATTTCCTGGAACTTTATATTTGGAATTACATTTAAGTGAAAATAAAGTAAACTCACAGTACCGTGTGTTTACAAAGTGAACTGTGCTGGCACTGTGGACATCTAAGTTCATTTAGAGTGCTCTCACACACTAGTGTTGAACAATAAGCAAATGGGATGCACCAGTTATGACAAAGCAAGCAGCATGAATCTGGCAATGATGAAAATATGCACACTTTCATTTCTCACCCACATCATCTCAGCTGTCATTCGCTCCACTCACATACAGACAAGTAAAGACTGCTGAAGCTGCACTTACTGTGAGTCATGTACATAATATAAACACTGACCCACTGACAAATCAAGTCTGAAAGACTAGCTCCTAAAAGTATGTTATGCTCTCAATTTGATTGGTCAGTCCAGGCGTGCAGCTAGAGATATACTGCATCACTTGGGCTTTACTGCTAATAGTCTGACTGCTAAGTGCTAACTGTGCTAACTGCTAACATAGTGTCCAGCTGGCTGTTTCTCATCGCCGTCCAATCAACCCAGTCATTACAATTTTTAGCTGTGTGTTTAGAAACTCAATGCACCATCTAGAACCGTCCACGCTGTGAACAAATTAATCTTAACCAAATCCCACAATGTCCAAGTTGAAAAATGGAAGAATTGACCATTTCAGAAAGATGTGTTATCTTAAAATCACCCAAAAGCTTGACATTGGGAATAATAATAATAATAATAATATAAAAATAAAAAAACTTACTTTTCTTTCTTTGATTTGACTTCTACCTTTTGCCTAAAAAAGACAGATGCAACAGAGGTTTAATTCACTTTTCATGATTTAAAGGGAACAGTTCACTCAAAATAAATATTCTGTCACTATTTACTTACTAAATTCTTAAAATAACAGTTCCAAAAGGGGCTTTTCACAGTGATGCCATAGAAGAACCATTTTTTGGTTCCTTCAAAGAACCTTTCAGTGAACAGTTCTTAAAAGAACCATTTTTTTCTAAGTCTAAAGTACAATTTAATAATCCAAAGAAACTTTTTCCACTATAAAGAAGATTTTGTCTAATGAAAATATGTCATGGATGTTAAAGGCTCTTCATGGAACCATAGATGCCAATAAATATCTTTATGTGTATTGAATTATTGAAGATTTTGTGCTCAGAACATAACAGAACATATAACAGCATAGTGAGCAATAAGTGAGTAAACTTTGAGAATAATGGACAGTTTACATCTTGGAATTAACTATTTCCTGAAGATGCATTTAATCTCTTAAATGCAACGTTTTAGAGACGTACCTGCATTCACACTTGGTGTGTTCAGTGAAACTCAGTTGAAAATTATGCTGCGATACACGTTGTTTGACTCGCAGTACCTACAGAAATATAAAAAAAAAATCACATTTAGTATGCAAGCATGCATTCATGCACTATATGAGTGTACTTTGTCATTTTTATTTCATTTTACACACTGTTGAATAAATGACAAGACCAGGCCTCAACAGTGGCCAAGAGCAACTTCAGCCACATAAACACGGTGTAAACACAGTGTGCAGCGATAAACAACATAGCTGACATGCCAGTTAACACCGCCTCGCTGTCCCAATGTTGGGCAAGCATGAAGTCATAGCAAGCAGGGTGAAGGACTGCACGCGCTGGATTGAACCAGTCTCACCTCCATGGTGACGTTGCGGGTCTCTGTAGGGACACACTCGAGCGCTTCGTCATTGCAGCAGCCTGCACAGCGCATGAGAACCACACAGGACGGGATGTAGGTGTGCTCGATCTCGTCAGGATACTCCTGAATGATGTCTACCAGCATCTCTCGCGTCTTACACGCACTCTTTTTGTACACATCCATGAAGGGAATCACTAAAGAGGAAGCAAAGTGAGAGTTCAGTCACTATCATTCTACTGATGTCTTCTTTTCTTTCTTTCTTTCTTTCTTTTTTGTCAGATTAAAGGTACAGTTTACATGAAGTTCTCTCATTATTTACTTACCGTCATGTCGTTCCAAACCTGTATGCTGTTATTTTTTTCTGTGAAACACAAAAAGATAAGTTTTGAAGTATCTTCATGCAGCTCTTTTCCATGTAATGACAGTTCATAATGACCATGACTGAGTCTGTCTCTCATAAAAGCTATTTCAGAAGTCTTGACGCTTGTGAAAAAGGAGTTCACTTAATTGTATTGAATGTGCACTTGTAGTGTACAGATCTTAAAAGTATTTTTTTAATGTACATTCAGACATAATATAATATTAATGCAACTAAAGGTGAATTTCATGACTGTTTCTTAACATTCTTAAGTACACTTTTAAAAAGTGCACATGAAATAGTGTCACATTAAAAGTTTAACTTTGAAGTATACTTTAAAATCATTGTTTTATTAATCTTTTGTTGTGCTTTAAAGAAGTACACTTATTTCGATATGTTAACTAGCATACTAAGCCACATGTAAAATGCGTGATTATGCTTTTAACCTTAATATGTTATTCAGGATTACATTTAAAGTTACTATATTTTACTAAATTGCCAAAATGTGTTACTTTTTATAGCCAGTAGTCATGGTAACTGTGAAAAGAGCGGCGTGAAGATTCTTCTCCTTTTGCGTTACATGGTCAAAATAACAGCATGTGTGTTTGGAATCAAATTAGAGTGAGTAAATCATTTTCCATTCTTTACAAAAACTAATATTTCCTGAGGAAGGCCCACCATTAATGTCACATCCATGACATAACACCTCACACAGGCCTGTTCTGCTCACTGGGGACTTGACTTTCCCAAGTGGGCAAAAAAAGGCATGTCACACATGTTGAGGCACACACACCAGCACATGTGCCCCACTTGCACGCCCACCCTAGTCTGCACACCTCCCTAAACTGGCTTCCCATCATTCACTCTGACCCCAGTGCCTCATGACCCCGCAGACTGCCAGGGAAAAGCGTGACCTCAGGCAGTGTGGCGCCAGGCTTCACTGCAGACACCTGACCTCCATGAGAAGCCCACCCTGCGTGACACTCCCTGCCACCCATGAATCTGTCAGGGCCCCAGATCCATGCAAGAAAATCAAACACAACTGTATTCATGATGCTGATCATGATGAAGTCAGTAACTGCTAGTAATCAGTTGGTGGTACCAGCCACATTCTACCCACTGCCCTATCATGGCACTTCTTCATTTATGGCCATGATGTTTGTATCTCATATCTTTATTTAGCAAAGTGCAAAGTCAAATATAAATGGACTGACTACTACTAACCAAGATTCAATATGTGCATTTAATGCAAAGCAAAACCGTCTAGCATAGGAGCTCTACATTGTGGGAAAGCATTTATGAATGGAAGCAGATTGGGAATGACGTAAAAATAACAATACACGTTCCCCCAGAAACGTAACAGGGACTCTATACAAACAACCAGGTCCACTGCTAACAAATAATTGTGACCTTGAGGGCAAATCAGGAATAAATCACGCAATCTTTGTTAATAAACAAACACAGCCATGGTCAATGACTCCACACAAGGTTGCTTGCGGGTAGAATAAATTATTCACTTTGACGATCCTAATGAGGGTGGGAAATATACCCTGACTCCTAATCTTGAGTGTCCAACCAAATATTTATATAAGTGATATCAAACTGATTAAGGAGAGAGTGTGTTGCGTAACAAAAGAGAACAGCAAACATACAGTATTGGATGGGCTATTACCTGCCTCAGAACTGGGATAAAACCATTTGCAGTTTAATCTTTGCCTTGAGAATGTCATTACATATACATCCTCCAGGTGGTGCTGGACTCTTAGCCCCATTTCCAAAACATTTTTCATATCAAACACACTTCAACATTTACGAACACTGCACTTATAAAGAGGCTTACCCTCGTTTTTGCTCTTCATCCCTTCTTTGGGTATGTGGGCAGCCTGTCAGGACAGAAAAGTGACAATTGTAAGTCACAGAATACCTAAAAAAAAGTTAAATCTGACCTACGTTATACACCACTGAAAAAAAATCAATAGCAATGCTTGGGAAACTCTGGAAAGGGAACATTTCGTTACGTTTTACACAACCAACGCACTTTATTTACTCGATACATGGCCAGAATCTAGAATTAGATGCTTAGTAAGGATTTTGGACTCTTATAAGAGTTTAAAGTAGTCGTTCTCAACCTTTTTGACTCCCACTGGCCAAGAAAATATTTAGAGCAGCCAAAATTTAGGCTAAAATAGTTCCTCTGGTACTGCTGTAATGATGAAAAAGTTGCTTGTTTTCTAAGCTTCTAATTAACAAACTTGCAGTCTCAATAAACATCAGTTGATTTCATGATTCCATAAGTTTCGAGAACCATATGTCCTTCAGTCAAATCAACAGCTGTTGATGGTACAAATAAAAAAGCAAGAAATATGATGTCAATCTATTGGCATATATGGGTATTTGTACCTTATCTACCCCTATAGAGGACATATTAGTACCTTAACTATGATCCAGTGTGGGTACAACTAAAGAAACCATGTAATTGCAAATATACCCAAACTGTAACCTTAAGTTAGATTTATTTTAAATAATTTTAAGTCATCCAATAGTCCCCTTGGAGGTTTGCTGAGGCCCTCTAGTGCAGTGAATCTCAACCTTTTGGTGTACCGGACCCCAGTCCAATTCAGAACCATTCTCAAGGACCCCCAGAACAAAACTGACTCATCTATGTATCATTTGTGTCTTTGTGAGGACCAAATGCAGTCAAGTACTATTCAAGTTAGTTGACTTGTCCAGTATTTGGCCATATCATCAGCTATATTGGATTTTTCTTTCATGGGAACATGTCATGTCAAAATATACAAAAAATAATACTTTATACGGATCCCCTGGCCTTACGTCAAGTACCACTAGGGGTCCACGGACCCCTGGTTGAGAAACACTGCTCTAGTGGGACCCATAAAAAGGGTCCCTTCCCCAGAGAAGGCTTTTTCAAAATCTAGTAGCCTATGGGAGTTTGAATGCTTTCAGAAAGCACTTTTATTTGGTATATCATCTCATAATCTTTTTTTTTTAATGGAATTTCATCTTCTACATTCTTAGTAAGGGAGTTGATTTGTCATTTAAAGCGGCTGCGGAGAGCCAATGATGCCGACTATTCTTTTTTCCCGCCTACAGATTAGTCTCGCCGGCGCGAGAGAGCGTGCTCCGTCGCGTTACCGCAGGTGGCGTGTGGACTGGCGCAACAGCTCTCGGTGTTGCGTGAGAATCTCACCGGTTTGCCTCACAGACCATCTGCTTCATATCCAAGCAGACATTTTTTCATATTCTGCACCCAACATTGGGACAATGGCGACAAAGCAACCAACAAACAAACGTCGGTAGTTTACCTCATACAAATATGTTTCACGACACCAAACACTGCCATGTCACGATTCAAGTAAATGAATTAATTAGGCGGGAGACAAAGAAATGAAGGCGTTCAGGTAATATATTGTCATTATTCTCGTCAAGAGAGCAGATGGTTGCATTATTTTAAGTCGAGAGCACTAATACAATTCAGAAAGTCAATGTTGTGTTTGTATTCGTTGCATTTAGCCGGTATAGGTATACTCCCGTTACAGCACCTAGTCTGTTTTATAGTCATTTGCATTTATTAACAAAACCCATTGCCTAATTTATGTTAAATCCCTGTACTTCTCAGAATAGGAACTGGTCGGGCTACACAGTATTGATAGCCAAATATCCCTAACATAACAGTAGCTGTTATTTTAAGCAGTAGCCTAAGCAGGAAATTCCACGTGAAACTTCAGTTCAGGTAGCCTAGTGTATAAATGGTGTAAGTGCATTATATCCTCGTCAGTGTAATCTGACCTCGGTTCGTTTACACATTAATGGCTTTATCCTTGCATAATTTCAAACCCACCAAATTGCACAGCCCTTACCTTAACAGCAGACAGGTGAAGGAGAGCCGCAACAAATAATTGTATCGAATAAACAACAAAGTTCATGGTTGTAATTCCAGTGGTGTGTTGCGTCTCTGGCTCTCAAAACTATTAAACTATAAGCTGCTGAATATGAATGAACCACCTTTTGGTGTACCGGACCCCAGCCCAATTCAGAACCATTCTTAAGGACCCCCAGAACAAACCTGACTCATCTATGTATCATTTGTGTCTTTGTGAGGACCAAATGCAGTCAAGTACTATTCAAGTTAGTTGACTTGTCCAGTATTTGGCCATATCATCAGCTATATTGGATTTTTCTTTCATGGGAACATGTCATGTCAAAATATACAAAAAATAATACTTTATACGGATCCCCTGGCCTTACGTCAAGTACCACTAGGGGTCCACGGACCCCTGGTTGAGAAACACTGCTCTAGTGGGACCCATAAAAAGGGTCCCTTCCCCAGAGAAGGCTTTTTCAAAATCTAGTAGCCTATGGGAGTTTGAATGCTTTCAGAAAGCACTTTTATTTGGTATATCATCTCATAATCTTTTTTTTTTAATGGAATTTCATCTTCTACATTCTTAGTAAGGGAGTTGATTTGTCATTTAAAGCGGCTGCGGAGAGCCAATGATGCCGACTATTCTTTTTTCCCGCCTACAGATTAGTCTCGCCGGCGCGAGAGAGCGTGCTCCGTCGCGTTACCGCAGGTGGCGTGTGGACTGGCGCAACAGCTCTCGGTGTTGCGTGAGAATCTCACCGGTTTGCCTCACAGACCATCTGCTTCATATCCAAGCAGACATTTTTTCATATTCTGCACCCAACATTGGGACAACGGCGACAAAGCAACCAACAAACAAACGTCGGTAGTTTACCTCATACAAATATGTTTCACGACACCAAACACTGCCATGTCACGATTCAAGTAAATGAATTAATTAGGCGGGAGACAAAGAAATGAAGGCGTTCAGGTAATATCTTGTCATTATTCTCGTCAAGAGAGCAGATGGTTGCATTATTTTAAGTCGAGAGCACTAATACAATTCAGAAAGTCAATGTTGTGTTTGTATTCGTTGCATTTAGCCGGTATAGGTATACTCCCGTTACAGCACCTAGTCTGTTTTATAGTCATTTGCATTTATTAACAAAACCCATTGCCTAATTTATGTTAAATCCCTGTACTTCTCAGAATAGGAACTGGTCGGGCTACACAGTATTGATAGCCAAATATCCCTAACATAACAGTAGCTGTTATTTTAAGCAGTAGCCTAAGCAGGAAATTCCACGTGAAACTTCAGTTCAGGTAGCCTAGTGTATAAATGGTGTAAGTGCATTATATCCTCGTCAGTGTAATCTGACCTCGGTTCGTTTACACATTAATGGCTTTATCCTTGCATAATTTCAAACCCACCAAATTGCACAGCCCTTACCTTAACAGCAGACAGGTGAAGGAGAGCCGCAACAAATAATTGTATCGAATAAACAACAAAGTTCATGGTTGTAATTCCAGTGGTGTGTTGCGTCTCTGGCTCTCAAAACTATTAAACTATAAGCTGCTGAATATGAATGAACCGTGTGTGATATCGTGGGTCAAAGTAACAATTCCATTCTGCCCTTCAGGACCGAAGCACCTGCGTCGAATCCACTCAGATGAACTTCTTGGACGTTGGCGCTCCTCCGGAAAATATAATATAATAGCAATAACAGCACAATAAAAGAATAATAAAGAAAAGAAACCGCACTATATATTGGCCCTCCTTTTTCGCCTTTAAAATCCACAGTAGAACGTAATATATCGAATTCCAAAACGTCACAGGCACAACAAAATGTTTAAAAAAAAGTTCCGTGCACTTCCAGGCGCAACCTCTCTCTATAGGGGCCCGAGAACGGCTCCTGCGCTTATGCGTATCATCAAGCGCGAGACGCTACATGTGCCGGTAAAACAAAGTGATCCAATGGCAATCCCTGGTTAAACTGCAGCAGACGTGTCCTTCTTTTCCTCGTCTTATGTCCGCTATTGCTTTGGTTTCTGGTGTCTCATAACGTTGTGGATGTTATCTGGCGGTCTTGTTACTTTGTCTTTCAGCACTTCTAATGCTCAGCGCTGCAGATCTTGAGCGTGTCGCCACACAGGCGCTGATTGGTCAGCAGGAGTCTTGCGTTGATTATGATGCTCCAATGCGAAGGGCTCGACTCACCACTTCAGCATAATTCCCATTGCGTGTGTGTTATTCAGATAGTACAAAAATAGGTATAGGTTTACGAAAGCATTCGAACTGTATTAAATCCGTAGCCTAGACTAGGTCCAGTAGGCTATTTTCTCATAGCCTACATCTTCCAATTCGTTTTGTACAGGTTTGACCAGTTTGTACTAAAAGGAAGGATGTGACTCTTAATGATTGTTGATTCATGCTAATTAACCATTAGTCGTTCTTTCTGTAGCAACTTCATATGGAAATGCACATGTAATTACTTTACAATAAGGTCTCATTTGTTAACATTAATTAGCAATGCACAATACATTTAGGCTATTGCAGTATTTAATAATCTGTGGTAATGTTAGTTGATTGATAGTTCATGTTAGCTCAGGTGCATTAAATAATATCAACAGACACGGCATTTGATTTCAGTAATTTATTAATAAAGCTTGAAATTGACAATAACCAAGATTGAATATGTTAACTGTTAGTTCGTGTTTATTAATGCTAACAAATTAAATCGTATTGTAAAGTGTTAGTACGTATTTTAAGTGGGCAATTATAACTCTTACAGTGAGATCAGGCTTTCAACCAGGCATGCATGAAAGTGCTGCAAGGTTTGAACAAAACATTTTAAAAAACATAAATATTCCTTATGTTTGTATTATTGAGAAAATCTAGCATTTTACAGTATATCGAGGGTCCCTGAGTCTTGGGCGAGGGAGTACTGTAAGGGTTAATTGTGTTGAATTATGCTAAAACAAAGTCTTTGGTGCTTTTCAAGCGTTCAGATAAGTTGACAACATGTTTGTCTGTTGAAAGAGAAGTGTGCTGGGAAGAGAACAAAGCAAAGCTAGATTTATATTTGTTTCACAAAAGAAAAGAAAAAATCTGCAACTTATTGATATGACAGAATAAGTATAAAATAGGTGCATAATGTCAAAGTTGGCTTTAGTTTAGAGTTCATATAAGGTTGAAGTATGTCACACAGAGGTTGCACAAATCTTTTTACACGGTGATAAACATTTAAACTACCATAATAATATTTACAGACTTCTGATATTACAGTTTCACATGCATTATGAATGATGCCTAATTTATATTTGATCTTATGAATACAGTAGGTGTGTAAACATGAAAATGTTTTTCATTTTCACAAATGCGCCTGTCACTCATGTGCTCACTGGTCACAGATAGCTGTGCTTGGCAGTCCTGTCATATTTTGAAACCTGCGGAAAGAAAAGAAAACTATGTGGATGAATGAAAATATGAGCTGATGTTTACTCCCCTGCGGGCCGTAGGAAGTGGCAGGGGGTAATACTGGGGCTTCCAGGTTCCCATGAGTACAACTGCTGAGAAAATCTAATTCAGTCAGCTGGTACGTGAAGACTCAAGGATGGTGCCCCAGTAGAAAGATGGGAGATTTAGACGTAGCTTCATTTCCCTTCGAAATCACCATGACCTCTTTCTCACTCACACACACACACAAAAATACTCATTCCCCATGTTCCCTGACACAGATGGGTCATGGCCTACTCTCCCACAGCGCTCAGAGTCAGACACTTTACTCTGTTACTATGGTTGCCAGCCACTTAAAGTCTCCTTCTCTTTATGCTCTGCCCTTATCCTCGCTAACTCGATGCTCGAGTGATAAGTGTAATAGGGCGGGAGCACCGCTGCTGTTTCTCACTGTGGAACATTTTGCCCTGTTAAACTAGTAAACCATGCACTCATGCTTTGGCACAATAACAGTACTAGGTATTCATTGATTGAAAAACAGATTTCATATAATGAATAAACTCTTAGTAGAACTTTAATAAGTTTGTTTGGGGGCATCGACTGAAAGAGCGACCCAACAGACCATAGCAGCCACTGCATTTAAAGAAGAAGGCAAAACGTTTCAATAGCTTTCTGAACTTAAGTGAGAATGAATTATCTTATGCTAGTAGAGAGGAGAAAGAGCTTGTGTTCATATAAAGGAATTAATGAATTCATTTGTTTGAGCAGTACAAGTTCTGGTTCTCTCATTTATTCAGTTTACCCATAGAGGGCACTGTGTAGACGCATCTAAAGAAATCAACTTTGCAAGTGTTTGCATATTAAGAGCAGCTACTACTTTTCAAACGATATATTTTGTGTTTAATAGCTCTTAATAAAGCCCTCACAGTCAAATCAATAGAATCCAATACCATACAATTCAGCAAACCACACTGAAAAAAAATGGTTACGTAAAATGGTAACATCTAAATTAATTGGTTTGAAGTCAAAAATATTATTTAATATCACTGAATCAACCCAAATACATGAATTTATTCCAACAAATTTAATTTGTATAGGTTAAATCAGGTAGAAATAGCTTTTAAAGTTAACAACTGCAGGTTACCAATTTGTACAGTGCACGTAACCCAATCGAATCTATACACAAATACTCTTATGTACAAGAGTAACAGTGTCATTTTATTTGACAGCACATATGTATTCAGCTGAATGATCTAGAAACCACTAAACGAAAAGTAACCCAAAATATGCATTGATCAAATTATTGTAATTGGATAACAACCAGAGTTAATGTAAATGGTAGCATGTTTTGCTTGAATTAAAGTCATGTGGTTGCATCTTTACCAACTTTGCACCATCAGAGCTGGACATTTTTTCACAATTATTTGAACTTAATCAAAGTTTGCAGAATCCTTTTAAAGTCCCTCCAGATAGGTTTGGATTAAGGTTGCGTCTTTAACAGGGTTATTCAAGGACATTAATCTTCTTGTGCTTAAGCCTCAGCTTACTTTGGTTGTGTGATTTTGAACCGTGTCATCTTGAAACTAAAATTGTGAATTTTTTTACTTTTTTCTGTACCATCTGAACACCTCTTTGAGTTGTTTTATGTGTTCTTTATTAATTTACTTACTTACAAAATGTAACAGTCTGGATCTTTGGAACACTTTTAATATTGATGTCACACACACAATGATCAGTGTTTTGCTCTAAAGGTCCTGTGGCTTAGTGAAAGTTATAGGAGTGTCTTTTTTGGGGAAAGATTAATCCATACACTCTTAAACTTGACTGTATTCCATCTCATATTATGCTGTTGGGATGTTTTATACCCATATTCCTGATTTGTGCCTTTCCACAAGTAGTTTTGAAAGCATGTTTCCGCCAAATGTGGATTCTTGCATTTCTACTGCCAAATAAAGGAATACTCAGAAATTCTGAGTAATTTTATTCAGAACATTTCTTGTTCTAACAATCACAGCTGGTCTCAGTTATATATTCACAGTTAACTGTGAATAACAGAAAACTGAACTGACCATAACCAAGGCATATTTACAGAAAATTGTTACTGTTATGGGATGATCTTGTTGACTGTCTGAATCAGACAGACAAAATGAGCAAGAAATGAATTCTGATTTTAATAGTAGACTCATATGAGGATGCAAACTCTGCAATTATTAGATTTTTTTTTGTGTAGTGTAGAAATTAAATCTAATCAAAGTAACAGTGAGAAACATTGAAATAAACATAACATTGTAGTAGAAAGGCTGAAATTGTATTTTCTTGTAAAACATACTCCAGTAATTTTTGTTTTAAACTTTCAAATTAATGTTACAATGTATATTTAGATTTAAATTCAATCTTTTTCTTAGATTTTTCTCACATTTCAGTCTCCCGCTCTATTTTTTAATAAGTGATTTTTGCATCGAAAACCTCACTCCAGCCAAGGTCTGTTTATCTGTCACCTTGTCCAACAGTCTGAGTGTATTATGTCTTTGTAAAGGGCCTGATAGTTTCTGACACAGAGCGGAGGACACACTCTGATAATTCACATCACGAGTCTCTACAAGCATACTGCTCACAGCTGCACTCCAAGTAAAATGTGAAGCCGCAAAAGATTGATATGTGAAATTAAGTCAGAGATCCGAACCCGTTCTTTTGGGACTGGACACACCTACTCTGCTGGACTGACCCTACCCACGGCATTAACTACCGACAAACGCCGCTCCTTAATCCTAAAGGCCGGTCGGAGTTCTTTAAGACGTCTCACATGCTTTCTGTGAAAATATTTAGTCTGGGCCTCATGTCCAAGGGAGTCACAACGATAAGATGAGCTGCTGCAGATCAAGACAGAGCTTGCAAACGCATTGCATAATAATGGAGAGAGTTACAGCGAGGAAGACAGGATCAGCGAGGAACTGAAGAGTGTGGATTGGGGAAGTTCCTTCGGCGGTGAAATGACATGAGCAGGGAGACGTGGTGAACTCCTGGTGCGGCGTTCCTTACAGGATTTAATTGAAGAACAACATGCAGGTTCATCTGCAGCGTAAAAGCCTCCCTAGCTTTTGCTGATGTCAGGAGCATGTTAACGTACGGGCAGAGAAACTTAATGAGCCCTGTCAGCATCAACACCCACACTAAACACACACAGGCCTGCTGGAGAAATACAAACCGATGGTCAGCGTGTCCCACAGAGTCTTGAGCTCTGTCTCTGTCCTGTAACTGACTTAGGGCTGATCATGGTTCAAATGATTCCAAAAAACTGATTAGTCCATTCACATGTCTGTAATAGTCTGTCTAATCAGCTGTATAAGAGTGGTCAGCTGGCTTGCTTGGAGGTCTTCAGAAAGATACTCAATTCAAGCTACGAGAACGCAGTATTCAGTATAGATATAATAGTTGTGCTAGGAGCAACTAGCTAAAAGTAGTGACACTGCTAACTCATTTAAAGAGACAGATCACTCAAAAATCTAAATTGACATAATTTACTCATCCTAATTTCATTTCAGACCCGTGCATCTTTCTGTGTTCTGTGAAACACAAAAGAAGATATTATTAAAAATCCAAGATTTTTTGACCACACAATGAAAGTTAATGGAGTCCAAAATAACAGTCAAA